TCATAAATGAGCACTGTCAAATGCTTTTCCTTCATTTATTGATATACTCTAATTATTTTTTTCTGTTTTAGTCTATTAATTTTGTAACATGTACTGATTGGTACCCAGATATTAAGCAAACTTGAATTCCTGAAATAAGTCCCATTTAGTCATAATGTGTAACTCCTTTTATGTAGTGTTGGATATCATTTTCTAAAGTTTTGATAAGGGTTTACATATCTATGTTTATGAGAAATTTTGGTATAGAGTATACTTTCTTGTAATCTTTTAATGTAGTCTTTGTATCAGAAGAACCCTGACCTCAGAAAATAAGTTGAGAAGTGTTCCTTATTCTAAATAATTTTTTGTAGTCTTGGTATTATTTTTCCCAAAAATATTTAATAGATTTTGCCCTTGCAAATATCTGGGCTTAGAATTCTTTGAACCTAAGATTTTTAACTTTTAATTTATTTAAAAAAAATTTTTTTTTCAACGTTTATTTATTTTTGGGACAGAGAGAGACAGAGCATGAACGGGGGAGGAGCAGAGAGAGAGGGAGACACAGAATCGGAAACAGGCTCCAGGCTCTGAGCCATCAGCCCAGAGCCTGATGCGGGGCTCGAACTCACGGACCGCGAGATCGTGACCTGGCTGAAGTCGGACGCTTAACCGACTGCGCCACCCAGGCGCCCCAACTTTTAATTTATTTAATAGATATAAAGCTATGGTAGGCAGAATAATGGCCTCTCAAAGATGTCTACATCCTAATTTCTGGAGCATGTGAATATGTTATTTTATATGGGAAAGGAGAATTAAGATAGCAATTATTAATTACCTGATTTTAAAATAGGGAGATTATCCTCATTTTGTGCTTAGGTCAAATTTAATCATCAGATTTCTAAACACAGAAGAGGAAGGTAGAAAAGACAGTCTCAGAATGATGCAGTTTGGGGAAAACTCAACTGCTATTGATGACTTAGAAGGCAGATAGAGGAGCATGAACCAAGGAATTCAGGTGTCCTCTGGAAGACAGAAAAAAGTAGGAAACCGTTCCTTCCCTAGAGCCTCTCAAGGAGAGGCAGCGCTATTGACACTTTGGTTTCAGTCAGTGAAATCCATTTTGGACTTCTGACTTCCAGAACTATCAGATAATCAATTTGTATTGTTTTAAGTTGTGGGGTATGTGGTGATTTGTTATACCAGCAATAGAAAACTAATGTAAGAGTTCTTGATATTTCTATTCTCACTTGAGTTTTGGTAAGTGTGCCTTTCCAACAATTATTCATTCTGTCTATGTTGTCAAATTCATTGTGTAAATCTATTTATAGTATCTATTTATGAATTTTAATGACTATGGATACATAATGGTGTATTTTCTTCATTCCTAATGTTGGTATTTTGTGTTCCCCCTCTTTCTTGAACAGTCAAGCTAGAATTTTATACATCTATTTTTAGAGTTTTCAAAGAACCACTTTTGTTTTTATTGATTTTTTTCTATTGCATGTTTTTCTTCCTGTTTCATTAGTTCCTTTCTTCCTTTCATCTGAATTTAACTTGTTTTTTATTTTCACTTCCAAAACGAAAGCTTGGATCTTCAACTTTATAGTATTATTCTTCCCCATGTAAGAATTTGAAGTTATACATTTTCTTCTAAAGCTTCATTTTAGTGGCATCCCACTAGTTTTGATGTTTTGTGTTTTCATTATCATTCAGTTAAAAATGTTTACGAATTGCGTACTTAGAAATGAGTTAATGAGTGCCTACCTATTTGGTTCTTTTTAAGATATTTTATGATTTCTAATGTAATTTCACTGTGATCAGAAAACATGCTCTAACATTTTGATCTTTTGAAATGAAATCTATTAAGACTTGTTTTATAGCCCATAACATGACCTCTCTTAATGAATTTCTATATGGGCTTGAAATAACTGTTCTTTTTTCAGTTATTGAGTGTGGTGTTCTGTAAATGAAAATTAGGTTAAGGGAGTTGGTACATCCTGACTGATTATTTTTCTAGTTAACCTATTCATTACTGAATGAGGGGAATTAGTCTCCAACTATAATTGTGAATTTATATATATTTTAATTTAGTTTTGACGGTTTGGACTATTATTTTTGAGGCTTTTTTATTAGGTTCATATATACTTATAATTATTATACTTTCAGAATATACTGATTCTTTTACCATTATTATATATTATTATTTACTTTTTGGTAGGCAGTGCTCCTTGTCTCAAAGTTGACTTTTTGTGATATTGACGTAGTTACCTTACTTTCTTTCTTTTTTCATAAATGATTTTTTTTAAAGTTTATTTATTACTTATTTTGAGACACACACACACACACACACACGCACACACAGGAGTGGCAGAGAGAGACGTAGAGAGACAGAATCCCACACTGTCAGCAGAGGGCCTGATGCAGGGCTCGAATTCATGAACCTTGAGATCATGACCTGAGCCGGAGTCAGATGCTTAACCGACTGAGCCACCCAGGCACTGCAGTTATCCTACTTTCTTAAGCACACTGTTGTCTGCATTCCATATCTTTTTTCCATTCTTTTATTCTAATCGTTTCGTATCTATGTATCTGAAGTGCATCTCCTGTCAATTGCATAACATTTGTCTTCTTCTTTTTTTTTCTTTTTTAATTCCATTTTGGGGATCTCATCCTGAATAATTAGGAATAAGGTTTATTTAGGTCTTCTAACTTGCTGTTGGCTTTGCATTTGTCTCATCTTATTTTTAATTTGTTCTATGTTCCTACTGGAATTCTTTGGGTTGCTTCTTTGGATTGGTAAATATTTTTGGTATTTCATCTTAATTATCAGATTTCTAGTTATATTATTATAATTTAGTGGTTCTTCTAGGAATTACAATATGCATCCCTAACTTATCCTAATTGAAGTGTCTTAAATGAGGAAAGAACTATGAATTTGTATTTGTATGTGCACCTAATTTATTTTTGTGACTTTCTTGAAGTCTAAAATAAAGTTGATATTAAAGAACTATAGTCAAAAATATGAAATAAAATCTAATCCAAATTCACGTATATGTAATATATAACAAATTTCAGAAGTAAACAATGATGAATACAAAATTCAGAGAAATGATACATAGCATTGCTGTTTTAGCAACTGAGAAATATGTTCAAAATACAAATATTAGAATCGATACAAAGTATTGAATGTGTATTTACTGTCAGCTATGGCCAGAAACCCTATATTTGATAGAGAAACACTGTCCATAAACAATGTAAAGAGCCACAAGGATCAAAATCAATATTCTAATAAGATAATTATAAAAAGCCTATATTTAAATAGGAATTTTAAGGTAACACACAACTGATGGTTTCAAATAAATATTTGATCATTTTTGAATAAAACACTAACACCTGATATAGACTTCTTTTTTAGATTAAAAAGAAGGAAACAATACCATGTGTTTTTTTTGTTTGTTTGTTTGTTTTTTCAACATTTATTTATTTTTGGGACAGAGAGAGACAGAGCATGAACGGGGGAGGGGCAGAGAGAGAGGGAGACACAGAATCGGAAACAGGCTCCAGGCTCCGAGCCATCAGCCCAGAGCCCGACGCGGGGCTCGAACTCACGGACCGCGAGATCGTGACCTGGCTGAAGTCGGACGCTTAACCGACTGCGCCACCCAGGCGCCCCCTTTTTTTTTTTTAATTTTTTTTTTCAACAAAATACCATGTGTTTTAATTAAAGCCCTTGATTCTTTCTTCATTCATTAGTCTAAGAATATAAACATGAAAATAGTTATTTCCACTCTTGAATTGCTTACCCATGGGTATTACTTACCCATGCAGATATAATTATTCATTTACATAATTTATATAAACTTACTTAAAATGCCTTAATTTTTATTTTATTCTGACATTATGGAAATATAAACATACCACTTTAGTTTGTAATAACTCAGAAAACAAAAACTTTTGTGAATCCTAATTAAAAATTTAAACTCACATTCAATTTAAAAGAGGTGGCTTTAGAAAATGCTTCTGACAAACTAATGAGGGAGTAAAAAACAATATTTTATATTCACAAAATTACTACAGTTATAGATAATGAGAAGAAAGATTTAATGAGCAAATATATGTGAGGTCACTTTTTAAAAAGGCAAAAATTTAAAGTGTTATGCTGTCTTGTCATTCCAAATAAAATAAGTGGGATAATTCTTTTCCTACATGGATGTTTTTACTTCAGTTTTTATATGTGTCTTGTGAGTTAGGCAGGCGGTTGTTACTACCCTTACTTTATAGATCAGGAAACTAAGATGAGAAAACTATATATATATATATAAACATTGTTTTGATGTTTATTTAAAAAAAATTTTTAACATTTATTTTTGAGACAGAGAGAGACAGAGCATGAACGGGGAGGGGCAGAGAGAGAGGGAGACACAGAGTCCGAGGGAGGCTCCAGGCTCTGAGCTGCCAACACAGAGCTCCATGCGGGGCTCGCAGTCACCAACTGTGAGATCATGACTTGAGCCAAAGTTGGACGCTTAACTGGCTGAGCCACCCAGGTGTCCCGAGAAATATACAATCATACAATTAATAGTCTGTAGAGTTACGTTCAATTCCAGATGTTTGACTCCAAGTTCACTGCTTTTTTAACTGCTTCATGAAGCTTCAACAAAAACATAAATTCTCTTGATTTTGACTTTAACCTCACCCAGTAAATTGAAGAACTCTTTTTTAGAATCTAAAGTCTGCAACAATCTCATTAACCAACTCTGCAAGATAGAAAAGCTCCAGGATACTTCTCATGCTGATCAGAAACACTTCTACCAAAATAAAAAGCATCAAAAACCAGCAGAGGAAAGGCAGAAAAGGGGAAGACTAGACAAAAGCCAAAAGAGAAAGAGTACTACCTGGGGAGGATTTTGAAGATCAAGCTCAATACTGGTGGGAGGTTGGGTAGCACAGGAATTACATAACTGGTGCTGCCCACACACTGTCCCTGCTGCTAAGTTAAAAATAAAAAAACCACGCTTGGTAGTTGGGAGATAGCATTCATTATAATTGGCACATTTGATGTATGTTGACACTGTACCCAATGGAAGTAAATGTCTACAGGGGTAGGATGAAGTAGGGGAAGAGGAAGGAGAATGAAGGGGTTATATTTCTAAAGTCTATTTGTTTTCTTCACATAGGGTGGAGGAAGCCAAAAGGTCACTGATCAAGGTCTTGGGGTAGCCTGTAATTTAATTAAGATCAAATTACACATTTTAATTACCTGGTACCAAAGAAGCCAATGTGTTAATGCTTGTCTGGTATTCAGTACACAATTCAGGGTTTCTGTTCTTGGCTTCAGCTGGTCTCCCGTTTGAAGCAGGCATTTGAAGACTTCATGTTAATCAAATTTTCCCATTCTTGATGATTTAAAAATATAAATGTGCAAGTCTGTAAAATACAGAGTGGGAGAGAGTTAAAACTTCATTTTTATACAGTACAGTGCAGTTTTAATTGTAAATTGGCTTTCTAATTTTATAGTTTGGAAAGAAAAAAAAGGTGGGGTTAACATATATTGAGTATTATGTCATCAAACATTTGGAAAAAAAAACTTGAGAGACATATTTTTCATTTAAATGATGCGACAAATATCATCAGTATACAGATGAGAAAACTATCTGAATGAATAAGCTAAGGTTCACATCCTAAAGGCATCTGTTTTCAAAACCCATACTCCTTCTAAACCATAGCCACTCTGTTTCCCTGTCTTCCACCTCCACCTACTAAATGATAATTAGTGATTGTGAATGAGACACTCTTCGTCTTTCCTTGATAAAATAAAGTCCCGTTAATGTCCACCAACAACTGAATCAGATTATATCTGGGTGAGCTATGGAAAGAAGGACAAGAAATCTTAAAGGATAAACACTGTCTTCTCAACAGTAACTGCACAACCAAATGCATCCACTTATTTGGCATTTAATCAAGGATTCTTTGAAAAGAGACAAGGGGCGCCTGGGTGGCTCGGTCGGTTGGGCCTCCGACTTTGGCTCGGGTCATGATCTCACAGTTTGTGAGTTTGAGCCCCACATCCGGCTCTGTGCTGACAGCTCAGAGCCTGGAGCTTGCTTTGGAGTCTGTGTCTCCCCTCTCTCTGCCCCTCCCCTGCTCACGCTGTGTCTCACTGTCTCTCAATAATACATAAGTGTTAATAAAAAAGAAAAGAAAAGAGACAAAATTACTTTACTGGGGTCAAATGATTATATATAAAATATTATGATTATATATAAAATTATGTATATAATTTATATATTTTATTATATATTATATATAATTTATATATATGTATGTTGTATATATGTATATGTATATATGTATGCATATATGTATGTATATGTTGTTATATATATTATATATAATTTATATATATGTATGTTGTATATATATGTATATGTATATATATGTATATATGTATATATATGTATATATGTATGTATGTATGCATATATTATTTATATATAATATATATAATAAAATAATCATAAAATGCAGATCATAAAATCCTTGATTTCTCACAGAGGCTTAGACCATAAACCCAGAGGCTTTTCTGTGGTTATTCCAAGTTTTATTCTCCATTTCAACTCTAACATAAAAGCTATTGTTCTACTCTGAGTTTACAGTTTTTGTTTGTTTTTGAAAGATAAATGGTCAAACATCCCGCAAATCAATGGGAATTAGCAGTTGAGACTGTCAAAACTGGTTCAGCCTGAAGGAAAAAAAACAGAAAACAAAAAACAAAAACTAGATTGTTATATAATACTACATTCAGTGGTGAAATCCTGATAAACCGGATAGATTAAAGATTCACAATGAAGGGTCAAATGATAAATTTAATAGAAGAGAATGCAGTATAACACCTTTGTGATATAAAAGTGAGGACAGACTTTCTAAGTAAAACCTACAAAACATTGAACTATAGGGAATTCATTTACAGTTCAAAATAAAGGATTTCTTTTAAACAAAGGACAGCATAAATAGAGGCAAGAATCATCACAAGAGCTGATACCTATATAGTGCTTACTGTGTGCCAAGAACCTTTTCTATCATTATGCCCATTTTGCTGATGAATCAAACAGAATAATAACAACAAAAGAGATAAAGTAACTTGTCCAAGATCATGTGGCTAGTAAAATAAGGAGTCCATGTTCTTTACCATGATTTCTTATAGTCTCCTATTGGCTGATGGGAGAAACATTTGCAATATCCAAAACCATTGAGGGCTGGCTACGTAGAATATACAGAGAACACCTGCAAATTACAACAACTATAACAAAGACTAATATTCCAAGGGATATAAGAGAAAGGATTATATTAAAGCAGTTTACAAAACTGAAACCATCTAAACAGCAATGGATTCTCAATCACATCAGTAAACACAGAAGTATAAATTAAAGCAAGAAGATATCACTTTCTAATTTCAGAAAGATGAATGAGTCAAGTTGATGGAGATGGTGAAATATAAAATACTCCTGCATTGTTGGTGGCTATGGCCCTTCCAGACAGTTGTGGGACAGCAGCATTAGGTCAGTTAAGATACTTGTTTCTGCCTGGGTACATATTCCAAAGAAATGCTCACGTAGGTTCTTCAGGGGGTGTGTGTAGATGTTAACCACTGTGGGAGGTGGAGTTGGATCTAATGTAATGTCTATTATCAAGGATGTATATTAGTAAATTGCGGGTGATGCATATACAGAAGATAATAAAGCAAAGAACCACGTAGTCCTTGTAAAGGCACATGGATGGATCTAAAGAAGGAAGCAGTGCAGAGAAAAAAAAATGTAAGGAAGAGATGACATCTCTAATGGAATACTATACATATAAATCAAAATCATATATACCCCAAACAAAAATAGACACTTCAAAAAAGCATATAGCAACAAAATACTTCTGGAAAGTAAATATTGAATAAGAATAGGAAATAATGCAGCTAAAGGGAAGTAAAATGTTCAAATAGTCAAAAGATGGGCCCTGCACACACCAGTGATGATAATTTTACACTAAATGAGAGGTACAATTATTTCAAACAACTGCATCAGAAATCCAAATGGAAAAGAAAAAAAAAGACAATGACATTTTTGTTTCGATTTAATATTAAATGAATAATGCTTATTAATCATCTACTTCATTTAAAAAAATGTTTATTTATTTATTTTGAGAGAGAGAGAGAGCACATGCCCATGAGTGAAGGGGGGACAGAGAGAAAGGGAGAGAATCTCAAGCAGGCTCCATGCTCAGTGCAGCGTCCCGTGTGGAGCCACTCGCATGTCCCCCAGGCACTCTACAGGGGGCTCGAACCCGCGAACCACGAGAGCATGACCTGAGGTGAAGTCGGACGCTTAACCGACTGAGCCACCCAGGCGCCCCTATCACTTACTTCATTTTGAATTACTGAAGCAGGCAGTTACATATATTCTATTCTATATTCTTTCCCTCACAAATGCTTGTAATATAAATATTAAATGCCATTTACAGAGGACAGGAACTTGCATCTAAGATATGATGTGGCCTGCTAGGAAGAGGCAAAACTGGAGGGTAATCCCACGTCCCTTATCTGTTTCAAAAGATTTTAATCATTTCACTCTATTTATCTAATATGTTCAAAAGAATTTTCCCAGAGGCTTATATCCAGATTTCTATAAATACAGAGAAAACCAAGGTTTCATTAATACAGGTCTTCCTAAAACTTTTAATTCCCCAATATTGACAGGGGTCGCATTTGTTTGAAGGAAAAACAGCACCACACGCATACAAGCACCATTTGGCCAGTCTGAGAGAAAGGGTGGAAACAAAACAAACAACAACAACAAAAACTTTTTTCTTTCTTTCGGATAGCTCCTATTTTAGACCTTCTTGAAACTAGCGTTTTCCCTGCCGTCAGAGGAAATATTGCTTGGGTCTCATACTCTATGTACACTTTTAGGAAATAAAAAGTTACCTGGTCAGTTATACTCAAAAAGAATCAGTTCAGTTATTAAATAGCCGATGTAATAATTCAATGTAATAATCAAAATAATCCAACTTCTTTTAAATTGGAGCTCTTTCCTGCCCCCAGCGTGGTTCTACGTTGGGCTGGCTACCTAACCTGGGATTTTATGATTGGCTTTTTCATTCTTTCTCCTGTTTTGCGTTTCTACCCAACTTCATCGGTTTAGGAGAGGAGGGTAAGAAGGAGAGCTAAAGGAAGCAGGAAATATTTGTAATAATCCAGGTGAAACATGCTGGTAGTGGTTACCACCCTGGTCAAGTTATCGTTAGTGTCTCCGGAATTATTCATGATACTAATCTTCTCCCTCCACTCCTTTTCTTATTTTCTGCTCTCAGCATAGAACAAGCCTGATCCATTTCTAACAAGTTGGGTCGCGCTACTCATTTGCTCAAAATCAATCCCCCAACGCTCAGTGTAAAAGTCAAATCTTTGCACGTCCCTACAGAATATGGATACAGCCCTCCCCCATCTTATCTCCTATAGACGCAGCCTCTATTCCTTCATTCTTTGTAAGCTTTGCAGCCATAAGTGATTTTCCTTGAACACAGCATTTCAGGTTTAATCCAAACAAGACCTTGGGCACCTTATCAGTAAGAGATCAGTTACCTCCCAAACCACCCTCTCTACTCCTATTACCACAGCTAGCCTTCAGCCAGCCTCTCACCCTCTTGATTTTTTTGTCCTTTGTCCCCATGCTCCAAAGGAAACATATTAAGCTTTTTGGCTGGATCTGTTTGAAACTCCTCTCCTCTCATGCTTAAAGTGAATGGGATGCAATACCAACTCATTCGCCTTATGGGGAAATAACTCAAGTAGCAGCATATTCTCAATAATATTTTCTACCATGACGAAAGTATTGGGTAATTAAAGATTTCTTAAATATGCCTTCGGGATTTGAATGATGACACAGGGAATATAATATAGGCTTGCAAATGATAGCTTACACATTAGTATTCAATCTGATTGTTTATTCTTTGCATAAATATTTATATAGCACCCACTGCAATCCCAGTCCCATCCTGGAAGCTGATGATCTGTTATGGAAAAACATCTGAGGAGACTCATATTTTAGTTGGAGGTAGATCAAAAATAAGCAAGTCAACCAGTAAGTGAAGAAAAGCCTCGTAGATATGACCAGAACTTTGAAGAAAATCAAGTGAGGTGAGTTGGGAAAGAATAGCAGGGCATACTTATAATGGAAAGTTCATAGAATTTCTCTTTGAGAATGTGTCCTTTGAAATGAAAACTGAATTTAAGGCATTTCACATCTTTTTAAAATTGGACAGCAACACGGAGAAGAATGAAACTGGACCACTTTCTCATACCATATACAAAAATGAATTCAAAATGGATACATATGTTTAAAATTAGAACATGCTCATACTGTATTTAGGAATATATTGTG